TATAGCAATAGCAATAGCAATAGCAGTTAGACTTATATACCACTTCATAGGGCTTTCAGCCCTCTCTAAGCGGTTTACAGAGTCAGCATATTGTCCCCAACAACAATCCGGGTCCTCATTTTACCCACCTCGGAAGGATGGAAGGCTGAGTCAACCTTGAGCCGGTGAGATTTGAACCGCCGAACTGCAGATAGCAGTCAGCTGAAGTGGCCTGCAGTACTGCACCCTAACCACTGCACCACCTCGGCTCTCTAACTTTTGAAGGGAGTGCTTTCAAGTCAGTTTTTGACTCCAGTTGATGACTGCCTGGACTAATCCTTTCAATTTTCTTGGCAAAGTTTTCAGAAGTGGCTTGCCACTGCCCACTTCCTAGAGATACAGTGACTGGCCCAAGATTGCCCAACTGGTTTGGTGCTTAAGTGGGAACAGAATGTATGCTTTCCCAGTTTCTAACTGGTGCCTGAACGTCTATACCGGGGGTGTCAAGAACTCGCAGTCCGCAGGCCGGATACATCACATGCTGGCCACACCCATGCCCAGTTTAGCGAAGGGGGGGGAAAGGTGGTGATAAGTCACATGACGTCGCTGTGACAACATGAGTTTGACACCCCTGCTCTGCACCAAGCTGGCTCTCTCTGAGGTAACTAACATTCATGAATAAAAAACACATTTAAAAGCATATACATCCAAAGAACTGTGCCATTATTTCTATGAACATAAGGGGTCTTTGGGCTTGTTGCTTTCAAAACAAGGGAAAAAGCTTTCCAATTCAGGTGGATGAACTTTGAAATTGAAGAGTGCTTCAAAAGTGATTGTGATCTGACAGCTGTTCATCAGAAAGGACGCAGGGATGAAAATTTCCATTGAGCCTCCCCATTCCCATTGTTTAAACTACTAAATGTTTTAGTTTTAATCAGTAGAAGACTTCCTGCCCAAATTCTACAGGAGTTATTGTTAACCTCTCTTCAAACTCTCTAAAGCAGACAAGATAATAGCCCACCAATCTAATTCCAGGTATGTTTTGCTAGGTTTGATTAATTTCTGACAATCATAACATCCTGCAACTTAAACGACTACATGTGAAGTCTTCTAATAACTAAAATTATTCTGCTAGCTGTTTTAATGACAAAAAACCTTGTTACTGAAAAGAAGAGTGGATGAGTCAACCTTTGTCACAGAATACAGGCTTACATTTCTGGTTTTGTCTCCACTCCCTTCCAAATGAATGGTTTAATAAAGATCAGTTATTAATACTCTGGACAACTTGCAAGAGCATCATTTTATCACTGAAAAATAAGACTTTATTAATACCAATATCTCTAATGCACACCTATTAAGCCTGGCTAATAGGATAACTCTGAACATTTTATTAAGTTTCAAGTATACAGCAAGAAATATTCAAAATATTCAAATAAACAGTAAAATAAACAGTAAAAAAAAAGCAAGAACCATTTAATCAACTGTAGTTAATTCAATGTCCAAAAACAAAAACTCATTGCACGAGCAAAATAATTTCAATGCTATCTTTCAAGATAGGTTTTTTTTTTTCAAATTTAGAATCTTTGTTTGGAAGTAAGCTACTTGACTTTAAAATATCAAATGAATCAGGTATGAAGTATAATCCATAGAGATGTAATCAACAGATAAAGGACTTTCTTCTTCCTCCTAATAGAAATGAAACCCCAGAATGGAAACTATTCCTAGGGTTATAAACTAGAGCCACAGCCTTTAAAAAGCCAAGGAGGATGAAATGTTCACTCTACAATAGCTACTATTGCAAAGTTTAGCTATTCTAATTCTGTGAGGGAGTGATTCAGTTAACCTTCAGCTGAGCACATCCTCTTTACTTAGGGTGCAATGCAGGGGTGGGTACCTCCCGGTTCGCACCGGTTCACACGAACCGGTTCGTCGGTGAACCCAGAAGTAATTAACTTCCAGGAACGCCGGTACCGGTCCTGGCCCCTGTCGCTGCAAAGCGCCCTTTTGCCGGCGCGTCGCAACTCACTTGCTCATTCCCCCGCCCATCCGCAGCTTGCTCCCCCGCCCGTCCGCACTAAGCCCAGCCTGCCACTCACTGATTGGCTGGAGTCCAGCCAATCAGTGAGCGGGCTGGAGGCGAAGCGAAGCTTTTTTCGCGCTTGATCTCCATTTGAAAATTCCCTTCGGCCTTCGCTTGCTGCTTCCCCCTCAGGTAAGCAACAAAGCCCCAGCAGCGGGACTCGGGAGGCTTCTGGTGGGTGGCGGCGGCCCAGCTTTCGTCAGGGAAGGCCTCCAAGCCTTCGCTCACGAAAGCTGCGGGCTCGCGTGCACTACGCGGCTGAAGCTGGGGGGGGGGCGGTGGTAGCGGCGGCGGCGGTAGCAGCAGCGGCATTAGCAAGCCACTCCCATCCGGTCACATGTGTAGCAAGCCACTCCCACAAAGGAAGCCACACCCACCGAGTAGGTTCGTTGCCGCTAGGACCAGTTTATCTTTTCTATGTTATCATATCAGGCCTGTTATATACATGTACACATCCATGCAAGCCAGAATCATGCTGAGAATGCCATATTAACAACAGCTACCAGCTTTCAGGTTATAAAACTTGTGGCTGTTTCAAGAACGTTTTGGAATGTTTCTTTACCCACATATTACTCTGACATTTTTATGTTTTATATCATCTTTTAAAAAAGATGCTGGAAATGTATCCCATCCTTTCATATACACTTTATTTATGTTAGGCCTCAGCAAAAAGCTAGCCCACCTGTGTTGTTTTAGGAGAGGGATCCAACTTCCGGTTTGCTCGTAGGGTCAGTTTAAGCCCTCCGGAGGCTTCAGGGACCTTCAGGAGGCTTCCCTGAAGCCTCAGGACTAAAAACAATCTTACGAGCAAATTAGAATTGACTTTGGGTTTGTTCATAGGGTCAGTCCTGAAGGCTCTGGAGGGGGCTTAAACCGACCATATGAGCAAACCGGAAGTCACTTCCGGTTTGCTCATAGGGTTGTTTTTAGTCCTCCTGAGGCTTCAGAGAAGCCTCCAGAGGGCCTCCGGGGGGCGGGGGGATGTCCCAGGCTCCTATAAAGCCTCTGGAGCCTGGGGAGAGTGAAAAAAGCATGCAAAAATGGGGAGACACCTCATGCACGCATGCGCACTGGGGTGGTCGCACGTTGCATTATGGGTGCGGGATGCCCACATACGACCCCCCTGTGCTCCCCCTACTTATGGCACGTGAGTCAAAAAAGGTTCACCATCACTGAGCTATAGTAACAGAATCTTGTAGGTCTGAATGTGCTCCCCCCTCCCTTACTTTATATTTGCGTGAACTAGAAAGAGGCTCGTCTGAGACATTTTCTCAAATTACTTTCTTGACCTAGGCACCACTTATTTGATTATTGCTTTGATAGAAGGTCTCCCTCCTCTTTTAAGGCCATTCCCTATGCCCCCTATGCTCCTATTTTTTAATCTAACCTGCAACAGTGATAGGATATGATCGGGACGTACCGGTGCTTGCTGGGAGCACTAGGTACCATTCCGGTATGGTGCTCCAGAGGGTCGCCCCCGCTCCTTACCTGTATTTGAGCTGTTTGGGGCTTATGCGCAAACCTATGAGTGTATGGTGCCTGCGTGATGCTCCACCGAGCAGCAGGAGCATCACGGAGTGTCGCAGGCAGTAAGTACGCATGCGCGCGCTGCTCGTGTTCATGTGATGACGCCCAGCCCTGTTGCACCATACCGATTGCAACCCAGCACTGGTTTGTAATATGGTTTTAGGATCATAGATAGATGGTTTCATTTTCGTTTCGTTTTATTGAGCTTGTATGCCGCCCACTCCCGAAGGACTCCGGGTGGCTTACAATAAAACAAGGGAAGGGGATAATACACAAGACAACATATTAAAATATACAACAGTCACAATCTTTTGGGGGGCTGGATATTTCGAAAGCCCCCCGGC